GCCCGTTCGTGCCTGAAATAATGAACGGAAGGTCTTCCTCCACCAGTTAAGCTGGAACGTCGCTAAATGACCTATACTGTGTCGATGTGACGTAAAACCCAAACAAACAAACAAAAAAACAAACATAAAAATAATTCTTGCCACGAAACTTTCATTATGATTTTCATACCGTAGAGTTTTCCAATAAAATGTCATAGATTGTGTATAGAGGTACGTGGCTGAACCCTGTTGTTCTTATATGGAATAAACGGCAGTGCACGGAAACTGTATAGATATGATGTTATTCTACAAGGCATGTATATTTCCGTTATCGATGTTAAGTATTATGTAAGGCCATTTTTAAATTCTACTTACGCCGATGCTTAAGGGCGCGGATTGTAGCTTACACGTACCATTACCGTTCTATTAGGCTAATTTTAGCCGAGCCAGTGACATTTTCAATTTTGCTCTGTTTGGCGTACTTTTAAGTTTCCATGTACTTTTATGTTATTTAAGAATTTAGTTTTTCCGAGATTATTTTACTGATATAAAGCTAAAAAATGAAATTTCGGTGTATTAATGTTGTAATGGTGGCGTACTGGGAATGTTTCTTGTTGATCTTTTTTCCTATTGTGTGTACGGTGTTCGTTTTTTTAAAGACTCACTAAAAATTTCTGAAGACAAGGTGTTGACCTAGTTTATTTTTCATTTGCATAGGAATTGTGAATGTATACAGACATACAATAAATGAGTTTATTTGCAAGCATCTATATAAAAATATAAAGATTTTGTAACTTAAAAGTTTGTCATATTCGCAGATGTGTTCATACGGCGCAGTTATAATAAATCCTTTAATATCACACGTTTTTTATATGTGAAAGGGACCAAGGCAATTTTTTAAGTGGAAAACTTACAACCTTGTTCAAATTTGATTTCATTTAAGATAATACTAATACTAATGGTGGATTGAAAAACATAATCTGATACTAACAAGTCTACTGGTTAATTATTAAAAAAATATTTTTAGACTACCAACTTCTTTAGTCAACTTCTTATTCTCCTCGTATACCTACGTGCCTTTTGTATCGACATACCTGAGGATGTTTGTAAATCAATTTTTATGAGTTTTCGAATTCCAACGGATAAAGTTAAAACGGAAAGAGAATCATAAAAAACACATGCATTTTATGAATGCTGTGAAATATAAGTCAAAGCCATCTTAGAGCTTTTGTTTCAGCAACAATCATAGATTTAATATAAAAGCATGTATATAGGATGATTTTTTTATGTATAAAGATTTATATTAACCGTTGAAAAGTATGTCCATAAAGGAACATACGTTACAACATTTTAAAGAATACATTCTGGGTTCGTATTAGGAATGTCTCAACACCCCTGATGGTTGCATTTGTTTTATTTATCACTGTTTTTGTGTTTAAGATTTCTCTGCTAGCTGGCATTTAGTATTTGATGAAACTGTAGTTGCAGATTAAAGTGAAAAAGTATTTTACGACAAAAATAAAGCCAAAGCTCATAATCATTACCTTATTTTTATCAAATAAAACGTCTGTATCATTCATAGTGGAGGAAAGTTCGCCCAAATCTGTTCTACAGGTATGAAAAACCATAAATAGGTTTAAAGCTTTTTGGCAATTATTTATCAATAAGTGAAATAAAGTAAAGTTTTATCAAATATAACTCCAAGAAATTTTGCTTAATTCGTAACAAAGAGGATCGTAGGTAAAAAAACAAGCCCTTCGTTGTCTACTCGAATAATTCTACAACAAAGGGAATCATTATTCCGTTAAGGTTATTGTAGGTGGAAGTTTGGACTTTTTATCGAATATAATTGTTTCTAACTAAAACAATAGTTACAACAAATGCTTTCTACCTAAAATATATAATGATTTATAAACAACCATAAAAATGCATTTTAAGTGATAATTGTCAAGTATACGGTTCATTGAATAAGAAACCAATCTATTGTTTCAATCACAGTAAAACTGACTGATACATGTAATATCAGTAAGCTGACTCCAAAGCATTAGTATAATTATATATCATCCTTCCGGCTTGTTACGACGATCAATAAAAGTAATATTCGATAAAGTGCTTTAACTATTATCAGTATCAAACCATTTTAATGTCTCTGATAGCGTTTTAGATAATGACCTCAAAAAATGCAAATATGGACAAATAATCTACACTGTCTTATTCTCTCATGGAAATACATTTTGATTTTTCTGTAGTGTTGAGATTGTACAGTACCTTTTCATGATTACCTCGTCTATGAGTTTTCAAGTATGATACACTACATGGGTTAACTTAAGGTTCTATGAACAGGTAATGCGCTTTAATTTTCACCTGACTTATGTTTTAAATCAACGCATAACATTTTACTGACTTCAAATTGTATTGTTTGCATTTGACTCTGTGTTAAAAACCAAACGTTATATACAAATATTGTCTCAATGTCAAAGCCTTCCGTTATAAAAGAGTTATCATTAATTTGTAATATGCACACACTTGGTTAAAAGATATGTTGAGTGGAATCAACAGACATGTTAAGTGTTTGTTTACATTTTCAGTCATGGCATGATTAACATCAATATTAACTTGTAGCTTTTTTATTTTTGGTTAACTCTGAATATTTTACACACTCCTATATCTAAATGTCGAACACGCTATCTCTCTTAAATCTCACGTTATTAGTTAATAAAAACATTATTAAATAAAAACAATGAACTATTAAAATTATTTTTTTAATGTTGATATCAGTTACTTTATTACAGTTAGTATAATGAAATATTTCTATCTATTTAAAGAAAATGTTAAAGTTATACACATGATTGTCTAATAATCATGCATGGCCCCATGTAAGTAAATCTCTTAGCACTATACTTCATGTACTTGTTTAAAACCTTCCCTGCACGTGTTAAATTATTGGTTATAACCTTCCGATCCAGCGCCATATCGGTACACATTTGTTAATAACCTCCAATAATTCATAGACATACACTTTTTAAATATCAATAACACCATATCGGCATACACTTGTTCATTACCTCCTACAAAATATAGACCTGCACTTGAAAATTACTTCCACGACCTTCTACATTTGTTAATTACCTCCAACACCCATTAACCGTACACTTGTTTATTAACCACAACCTCTACGCATATTTATGACCCCATGTGAGATTTTAACATGATTAAACTAGCTCTTGAAACAATCACAACTAAATAACATTTGATTTTATTTATTGTGGGTTGAAAAGGTGAACCCTTTTTATAGCATCAAGGTAATAATAATAATCAATGTATTTATCGATAAGAAAAGTGTAACTGCTTCACTTCAATGACAATGATCGACAGCATGTTCCGTATATATTGGTTCTGACAACCATACAATTACGAATACCGCATGATTTTATTTACTGCTTGTTTCATAAGTGAAAGTTACTGTCTATTAGACGCAAGATGTTTACTTTCCATCTCTGAACTATCCTTATATTTATCTAAATAGCTAATTAGTTATATCTTTTGTACAGATCTGAGAAGAAATTATGGATGTAAACTGACATTTAATTTCAGAAATAATTACTTTTGTGTCGTTCTTAACAATATATTTGTACACAGAAAGAACCTAAATTGTCTATTTTATTGACATTTTTGAAAATATTGAAATAATTAGAATATAAATTTAACAACACCAGATACATTTATAAAATTGTTTTCTATTTCAAATCTTCAAAGCATTATCCTCCTCCCCTCCCTCTAAGAAAATACTTTTTTAATATCTCTGATTAAACACGAGAAGCTTAAACTAATTTTCGTTTTGAATATGTCGCTAACACTGATATATTTCGCTGCTTAGTGCAAATAAAGCATTGAATTAAGATTTGGATAAAAATCGTAGTGACTTAACTCAGGAGAATATGACGGGTGTTTAAAACTTTAACATTTAAGACGCAAAGAAATTCTAAGCAATCTGGCTTTTGTCAACATCTGCGTTATACTGATGGTTCTTTTGGCAATACAGGGCCGTTATCGATTATTTTGCAAACCAAAGATTGCTATTGACTCTTCTTTGAAGCTCTAACCTATCAGCAAATTAAAAATAACCCATCGCAGTCTTTGTATGTTTTCAGAAGTTCACCTTAGGCGCTAGTTTTATTCCTTTTTGTGAGCAAATTGGGTACCCACCTAACACAAAACTTTCTTAGACCTAAACGCTAGGTCAGAATAAATGAATTTTGATATTCCAGTACAACAAGCTATCTCCTTTACAGGCCACGTTTCATCCTGATCTATCATAACCTTCACAGCAGCAATGTTTACCTCGGTAATCGAGGTTGTAGGCCTACCTAAATTGTAGTCATCTTTGACACACAACCTCTAAACTTAAAAAGCTTTGACCCGCCTAAAAATTGCTTAGGACCAGAGAACCATTTATGCCACAGAATTCATTATATATCTGCGTCGCAACTATATCATGGCGAATGTGACAATTAAAGAAATACTATGCTTAAATTTGATGTTTGAATATCAAACAATATCAATATCAAATATCAACGATTGCTACAATGTCCCTTTGTATGCATTAACAACCGTGTCACGACTTCATTTATAGTAGATATGTTATGTAAAGTAGATATGTTTCGAACTTGACACACTATAGGTGGAAATAGTGTCATTAAAAAATCTGCCAGTCTCTTTTAAGAAAAGACCAACTTTAATTAAATAGGGAATGCAGCTTCCCATACATAGTTAATACATTCTTTTTTTAAAATTAAACTTATTCAGTAAGAATTCATGTATTTCAATAACTTTCTTACATAAAAAATACACAAAGATGAGCATAGTATATCTTTAATGTACCTTCGAGTTCAGTTTTGTTGCTCATTGTACAGTATTGTCAGTAAATTTAGAATTAAAATATTTTGGTCATTTTACACAAAAATGACATGAAACAAACCCTTAAAGTTAGATATTGAAATCATAAAGCGTTCTAAAATACTATGATAAAAAGTGAGAACATCAACAATGCAAAGGCTACGTTCACAAGACACAGCCCCGACACAAACCAGCCCCAACAGCAGGACACCCAGAAGGCACCGAACCAAAACCTGGAGATGACACAAGAGCCTCAAAGAGGGATGGGACATGTAATAAATGAAATGATAATAACAGGGCCTGATACATATTAGTAACCAAACGTATTGAATGATCCTCTTCAGATGTTGTTATTTACAAGTAAAGATTCTTCTTGAACATTTCATAATTGTATGTTACATGTATCTACACATGTTATCTATCAATATATTTAAATATATTTGATTTTAAAGATTGTGTAAAATAATAACAACATATAAATAAAAAAAATATGAGAAGCGTGAAGTCCTATTAATTGTTATCCATGGAAGACTAGATAAAGATATACATAATTTTATGAGTGTTTTGCTTTTAATTCTGCAAAATATGCTTATAGAAATGAAACTGTACAATACAAGGTACAGCATGCAGAATCTCCACCGAAATGTAAACACTGACTACATGAAATTTAAATAAGGAAATCAAATGAAATAAGTCAAATGTCCTATTCATTCAAACATCTGCGACACTCACTGGACTACAAAAACGAACAATACTAAACTATAATCTGACCATATTTTATTCTTTTTACATATTAATTGAAACAATATTGTGATATTGTACAATATATGGTACCGGTATAATGTATACACGAGCAAATTGTCAATATCTTGAGTATATTAAATACAATATGCCATGTCTTAGTCAGTTGAGTACCGTATTACAGGATTTCCTGTGTTTATGTCACTCATTAATCAACATGACAGTCATCCTCTTCAAAAAATATTGTGGAATTACAGCTAAGACGCCTTGTATTGTAACCACGCCTTTTCCAGCTTAATTTGAAACTCGTCTGCTTTGTCGCGTGACGGTGGTATTTATATTGTGTTTGTCATATTGTCTGACCTTTATACTTAATTCACCGATCACGCATTTAATTCAGTTTTTTACCTTACTTAGAAAAATGGACAAAACAGACACAAGGGTAAAATATATGTGGCGAGAAACTCATAGGTCACTAAACAAGACAAAAATAGTGCGTGCCTTTTTGTGGACGACAGTGATAAATGCAACCCAGTGGCATCACCTAATACAGAGCTCAACATATAAACGGTATAATAAAGAAATAGCAATATAAGACTAATTGGACCATTATACCGTACTTGAACTCGTGCAAGTGACGGCTGTAAAAGTAACTAATCAATGGCAAAAATAACCATGATTGCAAAAAATAGTTTTATACATATTTCCTACCTGAATTAAACCTGCCTTTTAAACATTTCTTTGACAGTTAATATAATATGAACTTATCCCCAATACCATCTGTGTTTCAAATTAAACAATATCTTAAATTATTATATATCTAATAAATCTAACCAATCGACAATCTACATTTGTACCTCATGACCGTTAAATATATTCCTATAGTGGGTCCAAAAATATATATTATTTTCATATTAGAAGGTTGAGTACATGTGCACTAAACGATGCTGGTCTGGTTTCCGATTTCAGTCTAAACAAATTTGATACAGGTAACCATGCTTGCATAAATATATGTTTACAACAGCTGGAAAACCGTCTTGCTGACCAGGAAGCGTTGCTTTGTTTTAGTCCAATACTCCTACGAGGTGTGGTTTTCAGTATAATAATTATCTCATACACTTTATAAATAAAATACATTAAATTAATTGATTGAATTTGGCACATGTTCACCTCACATTTCATTTGCGTTATAAGAATGTTCAATCTCGGCTTTATTGGTCTTATGGCATGATTAATCTTCACATATGTTTTGCATCAGCTGAGTATTTCAGGAAAACCAAAGTCCATTTAATAGTCTAATTGCATGCAACCGCAATAAGCAAGATTGCTTTTTATTCTATGAAGATGAAATGGGCACTGCCACAAAGTGGATTATTTTGTGTTTAGCACCAATCCAACATAATCAAATCAAATATTTTGTAACACATAAAAAGCAAAATATGATATTTAGATATGACAACGGAAGACAAATCATTGATTACATATTGTATTCTGGTTGTCGTTATATGCCTGGGTCACTCGTGAAATTTCATTGTACACTATAAGTAACAATAATGACTTTGTAAACTAACAAAACAACAACAACAACAACAACAAACTTCTTATTTGTGAACAGACAATGCAGCATCGGTCTAGGTGTAAGAATTTGTATGAACGTTAAGCTTATGCATTTAAAATATTTAATAAGCGGTTATACAAGTGCTGTAAACACCAATAAAATGTTTTTAATGCCGTATAGGAAATATTATGAAAATTGTATTTATTTACTGATATCATAACATGCATCTTTAATTCAACTATTCACCTTCTTTAAATGAAATTTACAATACAAATAATTTACAAACCTTTCAAAAAGAAATTCCAGTCCGTCGTTGTGTATGTGTAACGTATTCGCTTAAATATTATTTGATGTTAATTTAATAACTTTGTTTCACAGCCTGTCTAAAGCACATTATTTTATCAAACAATTGAATGTTCAGAATTGTAGGAAAAGCTATTTATTACAGCAAATTTATTTAATTCTAAGAACACAAATGCATCAATAACGAAAACAAACACGCTCCTGGCTCTACGCCATATTTATCCGTTATGATTCCTGTATCGTAGAAACTTTTCCCAATAAAATGTTACAACTCTAAAGATAAATGTTGTTGATTGTTGTATAGGTAAGCGACTGCCTTGACTCAGGTGCTTCCATATGAGATAGAATACCGTGAGAAAACTATTGATTTTAACCTTCTACAATGTTTTTATAGTTTCATAACAGGCACTTCTTCATGAGTTTGTTTAGAGACTTGTTTGCCATAGCAATTTGGAATCGCCATTAAAAGTAATACTAACAGCTATGATCGGCAATTAATAAGCTTTACGATAATCTCAGTTCAAGCGTTCTTAATACAAATAATCAAAGAAAGTATTGGTAACGACTTTTAATTTGAAGACTGAGTTCGGGCCCAGCCGTTGAATTCCTAGCTGTAATTCCATCACTGTTAGTCTGAATTCATATGTTAAATTTATCAGAAACAAGACATCACCTTGTAATGTGCACCAAAAAGAGAACAAAAGGAAGGGTACAAAACATGCCGAAGAATATAACTTCTTTTATTTCAAATTAAGTGTTGAAATTTATCTATTGTGGTAAGATAAATAGAATTTAAGTATTTGAAAGAAGAACACTACTGTTATAGATAAAGAAAAGGATATATTAAATCAAATTGTTAAAGACAAATTAATTGTAGCAGTAAAAATGTTGACAGTCTGTAGATAAATGGAAGCGTTGCGCAACGTTAACTTACGATTTGCGTACGTTAAAACGAACTGACACAAAAGAGGTTTTTACATCAATCTCATTTCGTCATTCGGATACAGCGGTTTTTCTTTTCATAAAATGGTGATAATATCATGATTGAAATGGGGGGGATTGGGATCTCGTAGGTAGACATTTTCATTAACCGTTCTAGGTTTACATGTCGGTATTAAACAATATGAATTTAATGAAAATGGCACGACTGATTGTGTACAAAATCAAGAAAACCATTGCTTGTTGCATTGCATCAGATATGACAGAGAGATAATAATGTATTACCAAAATTTCATCATCGGTAAACGTCAAATTTATCTTAATGCACGATAAATACTTTTTGATTGTGTTATGTAAATGTATAGCGAGCAAAATAAATCTTATTACAATATCTGGACGTGTTGGACTTCCAATTCTCTTTATAATTAAAAAAATCCGATCTATTCTTCTTGCTGCGCGAAATGATAAGTTGTGTGGCATTAACCAACGAATGACGTCAAATATTACATGTTATGACTGCTCTCGATTTATAGACATTCTTCTTCAAATATGTTTTTCTGTTTAAAATATTGATACTTGAATGTTAGAACCAACATGATCATAACATGATGAAAAAATTATTCTACTTGATATATTTTAACTAACGGTAAATGCTCCATTATATGAATCGTTCATGAAAACAAAATATATTTCTCGACAGAGTAAGTACACTTTACTTAATGTTATACAAATATAATACCTTACTTACATATCTTGAAATTTCTTTTAAAATTTCCTCTTTATATGAGAAAAAAGTTGATATATTGTTTTAACACCCGTAAGCCAGCTGGTATTTACAATAAAATATAACCCGACTGCAGAAAAGTTTATTATATACTTTTAAATAACTTTACAAGTACTTTCCTTCTATGATCTCATAACAACACTTGTCGGGTTGCACCAGTGTGCAAGTAAAGAGAAAACAAAAAGAGAATTTTTGAGAGAAAATTAGTTTATGAGAAAAAAACAAAACGCAGACGTCATTAACTTATAAATACACGTTTATCATACAAAATGTCATATGACAACAAGACAATACTTTTCTTCAGGTTTCTCACAAAAAAAATGGTTAAAAATATCGACTCTTTTGCTTCTATTACGTATCCTCTGATTACAGTCACGTCTTACATCCGCTTGTTGCTAAGAAACCAGATTAATTTATTTAATGATATATATTTATATCAAATATATGATTAATGGCAAACCAAACTTATGAACTTATACTCTTATCTTTCATGTTACAAATAACTTTTTCTATGACGTTTTTCTTAACTCGACATTATTTTACTGCACTAAATGTATGGTAATACTGAATATAAAATAAGTAAAAGAAAAGTGTACTAAATTATTCTCCTATCTATATTGTTTATCTAAGATCACGAAGTTTACTTACAACGTTTCTTTAATATCATCAATCGGCTTAAAACAAAGTTCAAAGTTCTATGTTATAGAAATTCCTTATAGGCCGATAGAGACTTAATTAAAATCCTGAACAAGATATATCTAAGTCCATAAGGCTACAGGAGTTGATCAAATTCCACAAACGATCATTATTGCAGGCAAACCCTCCCCGGCTCATCCCATTAGAGATTTATGTAATACTATGTTAAGTCAAGGTCAGTTCCCAGAAAATCTAAAACTTGCCCAAGTAACTCAATTATTTTAAAAAATATGACCCCTATATAGAAAAGT